AAGAGAGGCCATATGTTCCTAGAAAATATTAAGGAAAATGTAAAAGGAAAAGGTATATATGTATACAGTGGTACCTTGTGGCGATTGTGGTCGTGCTTCGGGGGGGTGGGGTGAGATGGCTGCAATTCTGCTCGGGGGTGGGGTGCGGAGATGGCCATGATTGCGGTTGTGCTCGTGCAAGAAAGATGGGTGCAGTCACGGTCGTGCTTGGGGAGGGGAGATGGCGGTGATTGTGCTGGGGGAGGGGAGATGGCCACGATCTTTGTTGTTCTTTGTTACTTTGTTGTTCTTTGTCACTTTGTTTCAAAATTTTGTGATTAAAAAAATGGTACAGAACGGATTAATTTTATTTACATTGAACCTTATGGGAAAATTTGACTTGGGTCACGACCAATTTGGGTCACAACCAGAGTAGTGGAACAGATTAAGTTTGTGAGCCAAGGTACCACTGTTCTTATTTTTTCTGGGAAGAGGCACAGCAACCTGTAAGGGCGACTCAGGAAATGCTACAAATATTATTGATTGGAGTATTCTAACAGAAATGTGTGAATGGTGATATGACTATAGCTTCAGCCATATGCTAGCAAATACTCCTCTCACTTCCCAAACATTTGCTCAAAGTACCGCACATTGACTATGGCCTAATGCAGAAGTGTTTCTCCACCATACTAATAACCTTTGGCTGGTTGCAGGGAATTGAATGTGGGACATGATTCATACAAAGCCCTCCCTCCCTCCTACAACTATATACACAAGGTGCACATGTTTCTTCAAAAGTATCTTTTAAGGATGCTACATTTCGATAGGTGTGTTGTGTTTGGTCTGTAAGGAGAGCTGAATCTCTCTGAGTAAAATTTTGAAGTTTGAAGCTGTGAGCTTCATTTGCTGTCTTTGTAACCACTGGCTCCAAGAGGACCCTGTCAAGGGACTCAGTGTGGGCGCCTCTTGGTAGTTGTGCTCATGCATTGTGCATGGAAGGAAGTGGTGTGCACTGGGTTCTATCAAACTGTAAACTATTATTAAATAAAGTTAGCTTTGCTTATTTGTTTATTGTATGCGCTTATGAAAGCTATTATACATGCATGACTTTTTGATGGAAAGTGCAATGTTTTATTTTGGTGTTCATGAGATGGTTAATCTTTGTTAAGAAAAACTGTTGTTTTAATTCTTTTATGTATTATTTCTCATAGCCAAAAGGAGTCCCAGAATCATTTGCAAAGAAACAATGTACAAAATGCAATGCACAAGAACAAATTAATTAAAACCATACAGATTTACAAAGATACTCATCTAAGTGGTCACTGCATTGCACAATCCTATACATATCTATTATGAAGTAGCCCCACTGAGTTCAGGGAGGCTTTTCCCCAAGTAAGTATGCATAAGTTTGTAGTCTCTAGGAGCCAAACCATCTCCATCCAGCACAAGAATGAACAACAAAAATCACCACTAAAGCCAGGGCATCAAACTAATCCAAATGCCTGTGAAAAGAAAATGTGTTTACCTGTCCCATAAAAGATGACAAAGTTTGCACCAAGTGAGCTTTTGTGGAGTGAGTGTTCTAAACTGGGCAGCTACTGCAGAAGTCATTCTCACATCATCACCTTTACCATCTCTTAAAGCAGGCATGGAAAGAAGGGCTTCAGTTGACTGGTTCATATACAGAAGGTAGTTCTTGATTGAGGCAATTTATTTATTATTTATTATTTATTTATTAAAACATTTCTATGCCGCCCCTTGCCCAAGCCTCGGGGCGGCTCACAACACAAAATAAAATACAATAAAATACAAAAATAACAATATAAAATTAACAATATAACATAAATAACAATATAAAAGAAGTCGCCCTGGCCAGATAAATAAGCAAATATTGTTAACAATTAAAATGACGCTTAAATAAAAAGGTCTTCGCCTGGCGCCAAAAAACAAATAATGACGGCGCCAGGCGGACCTCTCTGGGCTTCAATGCCGTGCAATGCTTTTTAGGTCATTTTGAGAGGCCAGGAGAACCTTTGGATAGCTGAGGCTACTGTTGCCAACTGCATGTATTGTTGAAGCTTTTAAGATATAGCCATGATGTGACATGGCATAGTTACTTTCTGTTTGGACTATTGCAATATGTTGTACTTGGTGCTGCCTTTGAAAAGAAACTTCAGCTGGTCCAGAATGCCACAGGCACATTATTGACTGTAAACATTTATAGAGAGCCAGTGAACTCTTGTTATAACAGCTTCATACGCTACTGGCCTGTTTCTGGCCACGAAAGCCAACGTTAGAAAACTAGTACGATTCAAAATGTTAGTCATGACTTATAAAGCCTTACACAGCTTACCCCAGGTTATCTGAAATACGGCCTGCTCATCAGAGACAAATTTGGCAAAAATGCCCAAGAGAACCTCAGTGGCTGCCCCGGTCCATCTCGGTATTTTCTACACTGACAGTGGCAATGTGAAGCACCTCTTCTGTCACTGAGCTACGGCTAATAAATTAATCCCTGCACATTTTGGTTTGTGTTCCTGTGTTCTTTCTTGTTTCAACAAGTGAGGACAATAATTGTTTGGTTAAAGCACTGAGAGCAGAGCTTTTTTTCTGCTCTGCATGGTTATTACAAATATGGCCTCTTTCTCCTTGTTCCTACTTAGGTGCAAAACAGTGACATAGAAAGTCAGAGTGGTGTGATGGCTATAATGTTGGAGTGGGGACATGGGAGATGCAGGTTCTAGTCCTCACTCAGCCATGAAATTTCCTGGGTAACTTTGGGCCAGTTGCAGACTCAGCCTAACCTAACTCACAGAGCTGCTGTTGTGAGGATAAAATGGAGTGGAGAACTATGTAAGCTGGTGGGGTTTCTCACACAAGGAAGAAAAGGAAGGATATAAATGCAATTATAATGCATTATTACTAATGCAGTAATATTCCATGTACTTTGAAAACATTACATCTACAGTTCAGGATGGTGCAAGATTCAACATTTGGTATGCAGCAGTTGGGAAATTACCATCCAATGAATAGCACAGTACAAAATTAAACATTCCTTTACTCAGACTCCAAAGGTAAACATGAAAAAACCACCACTACTGTCCAACTGTAGGAACTCATTAGAAGCTGGGAAAGTGTAGGATGAACAGTTACTAAATGTACATAGATACAGAAATATATTTTATAGTTGTGAATGGTGTACTAACTGATAATGCTTGGAAAGAGGAAGCAATAGAACGAGGAGACATAATTTAGATTTGAAACTGACTCAGAAGAAATTTGAGGAGAGGACAGGTTGTATTCTCTGAGGGAGACTGTGGCCTTTCTGCTGATTCTTTGGATATATTCATGGTTGTTTAACATATTTGGGTGTGACATTTAGTTGTGGCATTGTGACCGAGAATTTGATGCATCAATTTAAGTGGCTACTGAAATTATGTGATGAAATTAATAACTAATATTTGGAATAAAGACAACCCAGTCACTTGAAGTATACTTGAAGTATAGCTGTAGCTATAGGTGTTATATTTTGGAGTCATAGGAAAATTAAGGAGCCAGTTACCTGTAGTAAAGCAAATACAGCTAGGGAGCTCTGTTCTCAGTTGCCCTCCAGAAATGCAAATATAACCACTAATCTAACACAGTATCTAGTTTAATACATTGAATAAAAATTTACTTCTGTGAAAGTGCATAGAGTTATATCATTAGTTGTATAAAGAAATTGTCTGATGAAGAGTTAATTCTGTGGGGTTCTCTGTGGAAAGCTTTATTCCAGCATGTTCAGAGAGGAGGAGAAAAGGCTTGAGCTTGGAGGTTGGCACTGACAGTTGGACACCCTGGAGGTCTACCACTGGCCAATTACTTGGCTTGTTTTTTAATGGTACTAGGTATTGGGCCTAGTACCACTCTGAGGGAGTTCGTGTGCTCCCATTACTGGGGAATCAACAAGCAATGGTGGCAAGGAGCATTTAGTGGGCTAGTATTTCTTCTCCAGATAGGATGCAGAGGAGCAGTTAGATCCAATACCAGCATACAGAGATGTGGGGTAGAGGTGACACCAGCTGCTTCTAGTAACATCTCTGCTGCCCTTACCTGCTTCTGCTTCCTTGCCCTCTTGCTCTTGGCTGGCAATGGGGATTGCATCCAGAACTGCCACCCAGATTGAATGTTTAAGCCAGTAAAGGTGGCTGCGTCCTGTGGCAGGGTCCTGCCATGGCTCATTTCCGGGGCAGCAAGCACAACTTGGATCTGTCATCGCCAGCTGTAGAGATAATAGCAGCTATGCTTCGCAGCTGCCTCCGCTGTTTGGGTGAGCAAATGGCTGAAAAAGGCATAGGCTGCTACCCCTACTGGCTGCCCTCACCTGCACAACTCCGAGGCAAGAGTCTCAGTCCTCCCAGCCACACAGAGACAGCGGCACCGCCGCTGTTAGGTCACCTGGTCTTTTTGCTGGTGCAGCGGGACACAACCCCGCCCCCACTAGAAGAGAGCGCAGCAGAAGCGGCGGCACCTGCTCCTAGTGCCTTCGCTTAGGTAAGCATGGACTGGGCCCGCGTTTAGGTGTCGAGGAAGAAAGGGACACCACCACGGGCATGCTGCCGATCGTCCTCTAGGGCAAGGAGCCAGCTCTGACTAGATGGAAACCGCGTAAGAGGTTTTCTAAATATTCGGAGGCATAGACGTAATACAAATAAGTGCACGATGCAGTATTTATTATGTTACAAGACTGGTCGTGTTTCCTGCCACAGACGAGAGCTTGATCTCAGGGGAAACTTGCTCTCTGGCCGCCATCTAAAGCGAGGCCTCCAGGTTTCTATTTCTGCACTTTCGTGGGCAGCTGTAGGCCGCATAAGCGGCAGTTGGAGTAGGGCGGAGGGAGAAAGAGAGCGCATGGGCTTACTCCCAACCAACGAGAAATGGTCTTCTATTTGTGTGACTGGTGCACTGGGCCAATAAGCGGCAGGGTTGCTGCGGGGTAGGCGCGCGACCCCGCGAAGTCTATAAAAGGCACACGGGAGCGTGCGTCTCCCCCCCCGGATAACGTTGAACGGCCGTGTCTGTCTGTCTGTCAGAAACTGCGCGGGAGGGGAGGAGTAGCCGCCACTGCTGACGACATCTGCGGAGACCGGGGAAGGGACAGGCCGGACGGGTTTCGTGACAGGAACGACGTTTAACGTAAGTTTCGAAGCCGGGGGGGGGGAGTCGGGCTCGAGAGGCCGCTTCGCGCGGCGCGACCGAGAGGCCGAGAGGTTCGCGCCCGCGTTGTGTGTCGGGTGGCGCTTTCCCTTCCCTTTCCTTCGTAGGCCCCGCTGACGGGGGCGACTTCCGTTGTTGCCTTGTACACAGGTTCAAGGCAGCGGCGCACTCTCCAGGCGGGCAACCATGGCCGAGGTGGAACAGCAATTCGGCGCCACCCAAAACGGACACGAAGTGGCGTCCGCGGCAGCGGCCGAGGGCTCAGCGGGTGGCGGCGATGAGGAGCAGCAACAGGAGCAGCAGCTGGAGGAGGAAGAAGAGGAAGAGGTGGTGGCTGCGGCGGTGGTGGCCGAGGCAGGGGACGGAGATGGAGAAGGCGAAGAGGCGGGCCAGTCTGCCGCTTCAGCCGAGGCAACTGGCAGTCAGAATGGAGCCGAAGGCGACCAGATCAATGCCAGCAAGAACGAAGAGGATGCGGGGTGAGCTTGGCGACCTTCCTTTTCCCCCGTTATTATTTTTTAATCTTTTCTTGCTCGTTTTGTGCGGGGCTCGGCAGGAGACCTAGGCAGAGGTGCAGGCCCGAGGCTGCAGCTTGGGCTCAGCCGTAGGCGTTTTCTCCTGCCTTTTTTCACAAAGAGTGGATGTCACGCAATTGTGTGGGACGGCGTCCTTCATCTTCTGGCCCTGCTTTTAGGGCCGGAACAGACAATGAGGCAAGCTGGGCTGCGGCAGCGGGACCTCCTCCTTTGTTCTGGATCTGCCTTTTGTTGGCGCCATGTGGTGGGGGGAGGGGCGGTGAGCCTTCTTGTTTCCTGAAATGGCAGTGGTCCCCCGCCCCCCGCACACTTTCACGGCACATCCTGTTCGCGCTATATAGCGACAGGTTAGCGAGGCTGCCTGTGTACCTACAGCTGAAAAAATGTGCAATCTTTTCCCCTCCCCCTACCGCGTGCTTCAGTGCTTTCCTCATATATACATGCCAGCTTCCTCCTCTTACCAGTTGAGGGAAGTTAGCTCCTTAAAGATTGTTGGATGACGTGCCGGAGTCTATGTATCGCATTTCCGTAAATTAGCAGGTAGTAGCAGCATTTAATTTGATGCATTATACCTAACTCACTCAGGATTTTTGACTAATATTGGTTTTCTTCAAAAAGCTGTTAGATTACTTAAATGTAGACTCTTTGAAACCAAGCTAAGTAATTTGCCTTGTGTTCTGTGAACACACTGGAACCTAGACAGGTCTGTCCACCCCATTTAATTTTTTTAAAAGTAGTCGCTTTGCTGATTTCACAAAAGCCGGTTTTGAAGAATACAAAATCCCTCCAAAATACAGTTGGACAAACTAAAAGCACATTGTTCTGCTTTTATTGGAACTGGGATAATTTTTCAAAGCCCCAAAAGGGTCATACCCAAATGGATTGCTCCTATTGGGCAAAAATAAAAAACTGATACGTATTTATCTGAAGAGTACATTTTTGACAAGACATTCTACTTACAAAAATGCTGAGTTGCAAAATTAGTTATTTTTACTTAAATATTTTTACTTTTACATAGCATGCATATGTTTGGATCTAGAATTAGTAATTGTTGGATTAGACCTATTGGAATCAAGTCCCATTGGTTTTAATAGGTTTACTTTAAGCATGACTAAGTCTGAATCCAACTTGTAATATTCTAATTAGCTTGTATAGTTTTTTATTGTGGAGACAACCTGAAATTGAATGATTTGGCAGGACAATTGTATAGCTAATATAATATTGCATATAGACATATATATATAGATACATATTTGCTAGTTTTCACCTGGTTACATGCAAACTAACATTAGAGAATTGCTGTTGTAGTTCACTTAATTGAAAGGAAATTAACATAGATTTTGAGCAATAAAATTGTCACCACTGTTCTTACATGCATTTTTCCCTTGTTGCTATATAGTTAATGTTTTAAAATATTACAGGAAAATGTTCGTTGGTGGCCTCAGTTGGGATACAAGCAAAAAAGACTTGAAAGACTACTTTACCAAATTTGGTGAGGTGACTGACTGCACAATAAAGATGGATCCTAATACAGGTAGATCAAGAGGCTTTGGATTCATTCTCTTCAAAGAGGCAGCAAGTGTTGACAAAGTGAGTTTGAAGATTGCAATCCTGTTATTTTACTATTCTTATAATTCTACTAGTTTCATCCTAACTTAATTAAACTTCTTTGTAGGTTTTGGAACAGAAAGAACACAAATTGGATGGACGAGTGATTGATCCTAAAAAGGCAATGGCAATGAAAAAGGATCCTGTGAAAAAAATATTTGTTGGTGGACTTAACCCAGAAGCAGCAGAAGATAAAATCAGGGAATATTTTGGAGAGTTTGGAGAGGTATGTATACTGGGCAGAGAACATATGGTATAGACGTTAACTTTAATTAGATAGGATCAGATCTAGTATACAATCATGGGAACTGAGCAAATTGCCCAACATGTTACATACAGTGCATACTGTTTCTAGATTTCTGATATGGTCAAATAACACTTTTTACTAACTTGTGGTCCTCTAACTATTGTATTTTTCAAACATTTTTTCTAATATGTTTTGTTCACTCAAGAGGGAAGAAACCTTAGAATAAATTATTTGGCAGGTCAGTATAGAAACAATGCTGTGGTTGCATAGAGCAGAAGCCACTTGCATATGGGATAGAATTGCTCTGTCAGTTGCTACTTTTTTCAAAGAAGATGCCAAAAGATGAATTCAACTTTTTTAAAACACAAGGCTATTGAAGTCTGAATTTTTGCATTTGCTAGCTAATGTCATTTAGTAGATTAATCTAATTAGGTTTTGAACATAAATTGTTAATGTTTCACCAGATTGAGGCAATTGAACTTCCGATGGATCCAAAGACCAATAAAAGAAGGGGGTTTGTGTTCATCACATTCAAGGAAGAAGACCCAGTGAAGAAGATCTTGGAGAAAAAATTCCACAATGTCAGTGGTAGCAAGGTAGGAATTGACGAGCTGGCTAACTTAAAACATTTAAATTTTTAGGTGTTGACCTAGTTGATTTCTGAACAATATAGTTGGGTAAAAATACCTTTTATATCATTTTTAGTAGATTTGTTCAGAGTTGAAGATAGTCTTACTCTAAAATACCATGTAAAATTCTACAAGAATAGGATCATTTGTTGCTTGGCACAATTTCTTGCATTAATGTAGAAGTAAGGTGGATTGACTTAAGGTAATTTAAACTATTAATATAAATAATTAGGAAAAAGGACTTATTTTAAATCAATCATCCTATTCTGGAATTCATGTTTTCCGGAAAGAACATATTAACCAGCTGACATAATTGAAAACATACCTGAGTTGATTCAGTTCATGTACATGTGAGAAGATCCCTGTAGGACAGAACAGAGCTGTTTTTTTGCCCCCTGTGGCACATGTGGCACCCACAATTAATGAGAGCCACATACACTTTGCCTAATGGCCTGAAATGGTACCTCGTTACACCATGTCCTGATGGAGAATAACCAAACTGTTACACCTTCTGAAGATTTTGCTGTTTGTCATTGACCCAATCAGGCCTATATACCTGCATCAGAATGGTTTCTTTTATGACCATTGTCTTTTATGACATGGCATCTGCACAGCAGAATTGGTGACAGGATGAAGATCTTTTTTGGTAACTCAACTGTAGATCAAATTGCATTCTGTAAATACTGAATAAACATACAACTTAGGATTGAAAATGTCTAGTTTGGAAAAAAAGGTTGGTAGAAAATTTCTCTATATTATATAAATATCTACTTTTTTAGCTGATAGTATCAAATATTTACACTAATACACTTATTTCAAAGTTCACTGGAAGACAAAATTAATACCAGATTATCCATAGATGAATGTATTTATTAGATTTATAGCCTGCTTTTTTCTTGCAAAGTGGCTTATACCATTCTCAATCTTAAACCCTACAACAACAACCCTGTGAGCTAGGTTAGGCTGAAAATCTGGCCAAAGTCACCCTGTTGGCTCTATGGCTGAGCGAGAACAAGAACCCAGATTGCCTGAGTCCCAGTCCCATGCTCTTAACCACTACACCAGCTCACTGAATGTCATCAGGGCCTCTTTCCATCTAACATCAAATTATAGTCTAATGCTATGCAGATAAGCCCCATCCTTGTGAGTGCTTCCTCACTTTTAATTAAGAGTTGGTTTTCCTTTCATGAGAACAATAGTTGACCATTACATTGAGACTTAGCTTGTTATGAACCCTCCAAATGGGGAAAAAAGGACTGATCCTGGCTTGCAATGCTATGCAGACTACAGTTTGCTGGTGTGGCTGTAGTAGTTACTGGTTTCTGTGAAATTAAAAATGATCTTTCAAAGCATAGTTTGAGAGGGTGGAAACATGGAACATATGCTAAGGTGTTTGACAAGAGTGGCAAAAAACCCCTTTGCAGGTCTAGCTGAGCTTACCTGGACCAGCAACAGCTGAGCCAGTAAGTGCTCAAATGGCACTTTGGAGTAGCTTTCACTGGCTCAGTCTTTCTAGCTATGATTATGAATTATTCTGCATTTGCTGCAGTTCCCCACTTGTCTTTCTAGAGATCACTTTTCATGATCTCCAAAGTGATAGCTTTTTCAAAGTGCTTAGGCAGCACAGTGGAGAAGGCACCACTAGTTCACTACTCCCCACTTTGCTGCCAGCAATGTATGCAAATGTTTTCATTAAAAAATGGTTGGTAACTTGGACTTGTGCAAATACACAATTTGAATGCTTGTCATGTCCTAGTAAATGCCTGCTGTCAAAGCAAGGAGTATCCATGGGCTTCAAAAAGATTACTTTGCTTTCATTTGACTGTTTTCATTAGCTGACAAACACAGCACCTCCTTTACTTCAAGTTCCTCTAGGTTTTACATGTGAATCTGAATAGTTTTCAGCATCCTCCAGCGTTTCCCCAGCTTCTTGGTTCTAGGGAAAATGGAACACTGCAGCCCGATCCATTTGTGCAAGCATTTACTTTTGACACCTGTCAAAAGTAAACCTTCCTTTTAAAATGGTTTTTGTCAAGGACTTAAATCAGATTTTATGCCTGCATTATGCCTCTGCCAGTTTAGTCTTGTTGAACACCAGTAAAGGATACTCCACTGTGCCACTTGTGCACTTTAGAGGGGCTGTCAATTTGGAGATAATGAAGTTATTTTGGGGAGGGGGCTGAGGGGGAGCCACAGCAAAAAGGTCACAATCAGAGCAAGGAAAGGAGTTAAAATGGGGTCTGCCCTGAAAACCTTGGAATACCCACGAGAGGATTAATTAGAAAGAAGGAGCAGGACAACCCCTGGTAAACCTGATCATCTGTTGGGTGCACTGTGGGCCTTACACATAACTTGCTTTGTCACGTAATGCAGACTCATTCTACAAGTTAATTGTGGGTTATGCAACCCATGGTTAACCTAGGAACTAATCCTAAGAATCAATTTTGTATATTCAAAATGGTGGCAGTGTACATCAGTTACATGCCACGCTAAGTCATGCCATACTTGGTTAGTTAACCAATCCAAGATTTTTTGCTGCAGTTAATGTTGACTTGAATTATCAGATAAGCAGATAGGTGGACTTCACAAAAGGTTACTTGGTCAGGCATGCTCTCTGCATCTGGCTGTACCCTCAGAAAGTATTACCAGAAGATTGTTTTGAACAGTGTGGGGGGAGAATGTGAGACTATAGGGAAAGGGGGCTATTATTCAAAATCAAGTGGTGGAAGTGCATTCTGAGATCAGAGTGCTATTCATGTAAAGTGTCTTCCTTATTTGGGTAGGCCGCTCTGTCCTGTCCTATATTACTCTGAGTGGTTCTGATACTCGAAAAGGCTTTGAGGAGGCACACTGGAGAACAGTTCTTTTAATATTCATTGGGTCACCTTTAAAATGGATTTTTAAATCCATTTATAGCCAAAGTAATCCCTTGCCAGGAAAATGTGATAAGAATATGGAAGGCAAAGTTTGGTAGGCTTTGCTATAGTGGAAAGCTTGAAGGAAATTGTCCAGCTGAGTGTCCCAACTGATTGAGGTGCACTTCAATAGAAAAGAGATAACAATGGAAAATTGAGATACTGGGGAAACAGTAAATGATTTAGAACTCTTAGACTAGTTGGCTGATACATATACATTGTTAGTTGTAGAGCTTAATTTTTAATGAATTGGTGCCTGGCCCTTTCTGTAATTGCTGCTTTTTATTTGAAAGGGAACATGCCTGTTTTCACATGTAGAAGTCTCTCAGTGACGTGCTACACATAAACTTCTTTTCAGGTTGCCTTTGGTGAAGTTTTAATTAAAAGATATTAACAAATAACAAAACAGAGGCTTCTAATTTTAAGTCATGATTAATCATAGCAACACAATTCTTTTTTTAGTGCACACATTGACAATATTGTTTAAAAGTGTCCTGGTTTCTTGGTACATTCTATACAGTAGATAGACGTTTTTACTAGAACACTCAGATTATGGCCATAAAACTCATATGGCTACAATACTGTGAATGTTGTAAACATTTTAAGTAGAACTCGTCTTAACATGAATATTTATATTTTCAGTGTGAGATAAAAGTAGCTCAGCCGAAAGAAGTATATCAGCAACAACAGTTTGGTTCTGGGGGTGGCCGAGGAAGAGGTGGAAGAAGAGGTACGTATTGCATGCACTACTTTAGTATGGACACATTCTAAAACAAACTTCTATACTAAAATGGGATTTTGTGGATGGTTTTCCTTTCTATAGCTCAAAGTCAAAATTGGAATCAAGGTTATGGCAATTACTGGAACCAGGGTTATGGGAGTCAAGGATACGGCTATCAGCAAGGTTATGGTTGCTATGGAGGCTATGATTATTCAGGATATGGGTATTTTGGATATGGACCGGGCTATGATTACAGTAAGTAAAGAGAACTGTATTGGGTATATGCAAATATAATTAAATAGCAGTTTAATGCATTTGATCTCTTGTTCATAGGTCAAGGCAGTTCAAATTATGGGAAAGCTCCAAGACGTGGTCATCAGAATAACTACAAGCCATATTGATCAAAGGTATTCAGGTATGCAGTGGCATGCTCTAATGCAGAAAACTACTGCATAGGTTTTGTACTCAATGCTGTAGATGGACATTACAATTATGTACCAAAATTAACTTTACAGTACATTTCTATGGCCTGTTATGTGTATCTGAAGAGCTCCCTGGAAATGTCTTTGTTTAATATTACAGATAATAGTTGTCTAGACAGTGTGGTGTGTAAATTTCAGCCTTGCTGAAGATTAATGATTTTATTGATAGGTTAAATTGAAATTGATTTTGAGGGTCTGCTTAAAGCTGCAGCTCTGCATCTAGGGACTGCCTCTTGGAGTGAACTATGAACTATGTTATTCCAGTTGTACAGAATGAGATGCATCTTAGGGAACCAGTGTCACTTTCCACCTTTTTATTTTGTATTGGTTTTGTGTCATACATTTCCTGTAATGGAAGTGTTAATTTTACTGTACTTTTTGGTACCTTTTTGGAATCTAATGTATTGTAAGGTATTTTACATGTGTTCTGATTCACCATGACATGGATATTGATGCTATTCTAGCTTTTGAATAAAAAAGCATAATCCAGCATCCTGTGCCATTATTCCAGCCATCCTGTTAAAGCTCAGGGGAAAGAAGTCTTAAAATTTTAGTAGAAATGTTAGTGGCTGGTACATAAATTTCAGAGGTTAGATTTGGAGCATGCTCTAACCTTCACATTGATGACTGACCAGCAGAGATTGGTTAAACCGTTAAAGGTTGAAACTTAGTTTGTTTTGCAAAGCTAAGAAAAAACTGGTAAGCAGAACAGGCATTGAGGCTTTCTGGCAAATGCATGGACTTCTCTGATAATTGCATCTGATTGGCTTGTATAGGAATTAGGGTCACAGGAATCTAGAGGAGACTGCTTGTAAAATACTTGGACACTTAAACTAGTGTAGGGCTCAAGGCTGTATTTACACACAAGGCAATGTTAGACATGTTTACCACATTAAAGTCACTTTTTTGTATATGTGAGTTCAGTTTAACTGCAATGAGGAATCCGGAAACATGCTTAGTACCATATATATACAAAACTCCCAGACTATGTAGTACATGCATTATGTCTGAAGTCACCCTCAGGCTTAAATCAGTAATTCACTGACCACACTTTGTCAACCTGATTGGCTTTGTGCTCTTACGCATTTTATTAACTATTGTTTAGAACTTAGTCTTTTTAGCATTAAATGCTTAAAGTAATATTAAAGCTGCCTAAAAAGTTTGTTTTTCAGTATTTCTTTTGTTCCAAGTTCTTTCAAACTATCTTACTGCTTCCTCTGAGCTAACCATTCTGATTTGTAGTTATGCTACTAACTTTTTTTTTCAGGAAAAAGTAGATAACTTGTGAGCCCCACTTCAAACAGAGGGGGATTTTATAATAGTCAGTACTATGCTTCAAGACTTGTAGTATTTAAAATCTGCAGTACTGAATGCCAATAAATGTATAACTAACATGGGACTGAACACTGTATGGTACCCTGCCTTGTAAACATCTTTAAGAAACAGGAATAAGCATTGGGGGTTGTACATTTCCTCTGGAGGTGCAAATTTTTCCCACCCTTAACCAAAATAGAGGTATGCATGAACCACAAGATTTAACTCAAACAAAAATTTGATGTTTCAGAAAACAGGCATTTTCACTGATCATCATAGGGATTTGCAGACATAGTAGTCCTTTTCAAGGGGTTTATGTCCGCCAAATTTTGGAGTGTGTGAAGTAGGTTTTGTGCTCTGCACCTTTAAATTTTGAATTCCTTAGAGGGAAGCTGCCAGTAACTTTTCCTTGGTGAAGCTGGATGCAATATACATGGCAGTGTTTTGAACTATAAGATGATTTTGCTTTAGTTGTTTAGGAATAGTTCCGAAGAGACCTAAATTCAAATTGACTATAAAATCAAGTCCCAAGTGAGTAGAGAGAGTTTAACATTTTTACCATTTTCATAAATTCCATGGTTTGTCAAAGCGTGTGAGCAGTTGCAATAACAAGACTTGTAAATTAAGACCACAATACAGTTTTTCTTTGACAAGTGAACTGTACTGCCCACTCATTTCCAAACTGTGGTGAGAAATTAAAGAGTGTTGCAAACACCCGTGCATAAAAGGAACCATCTACTACAATATACTATGATTCACTGCCCTGATCTTACCTGCCTCAAGTTAAACACCAATGGTGTAAACAATAGTTGTGCAATAGGAATGAAAGCATTTTACACACACCCAACCACCTGAAGAATGCTCTGCAACTGTCAACCTCTCACCCCATGGCTATATTGTGTGCACTGTTGTGGACAGAATATATTGGAGCTATACAAAACAGGGCACTTTACCTGATTCTGTAAAATGACTTTACAGAAAGTCAGTCATAACTCAACATGACATTTACAGTAGGAAAGGAATGCTTAAGTAACACTAGGAGACACCTGTCTGAAGATACGCTTGTCACTGCTGGCTTGGAGAAAAAGCAAAATTACCTGAAGAAGATCAAGTAATTTAAACTGCAGAAATGTAGTGGTGCAGATGTAGCTGCTCTGAGGGGTAGTAGTTGCACTTACTCTAAGCGTAAACTTTTTTTTTTTTTAGTAAACTGCCATTACATGTTTGATAAGTACCAGCATAGCCAAGCCTACCAGATGCTTAAATGTAAATCTCAGTTATCTCCATTTGATCCTGAATGAAAAAAATAACATCTGGAATTGATGGCAGCCACATGCTTTTCATATAAAATCTCTTGTTAACATCAGTGAAAGTTTTTTTTTTATTTGGGGAAATGAAATGGGTATGAGGTACAACAATAAAATTTACTGAAGGGCTTTGAGAACTAAATAATTCCGATGCTGAGATGATGAGGCACACATTTTGTTAAACTGTCAATGACATCATTTTTAGGAAGAAAACGTGATTGGAAGGTGCTACTTTTATAATACAGGCAGAAACGAGAATATCAATGACTTTTTGTTTGTAACTATGGCAAGTTATGTTTTCTGGATAAATGAGTTGTGTTTTACCATAACACACATTTAAAAAGTTGCATTAGGCCGTAACAGCTATAGAACAGAGCTCTGAATTTCTGTATCAGGATTGCAACAAAAATACAATAGTTGATAATTTTAGTCTGGAAAATAATTTTACCATTGTAGTTAAAGTGAAATATATTAGAAACATGCTAGAATTCAGCACCATGTCCATAACCTGTAAGAGATGGAATGAAATAATTAAATATCTACATTTTAAAGCCAGTGAATTATAGTTTGTGTAATACTTTGTAATAGCATGCTGTGGTGGATTGTGGTGTTGAGATACATTGCAGCTATTGGTGCAATCAATAGATTCTGTTTTGTCACTTTACCTGAATGCTTATCCTTTGAAGTGAACTTGTCTAGACATTTCCTTTCTCCAGCTCTGCAGAATATTCAATAGTATTAATTAGATTATAGTTCTTCATCTGCTCATTGCAAGAGGCAATCAATACAATCACCAGTAAAAGTTCTATTTCTACTTTTGAAGGCATGCCCTCCCCCCATTTCTGCCATGTCAAGTCCTCGCCTGCTGACTCCACAAAAAGCACCTTTTGAGTACATCCTGTTCTGTTATACTAAGCTTGGCTAATATTAGTACCTCACTTAGATCCCGTACCTGACTTAGACCTTGCTGTTGAACCAGGCTTAGAATAATAAGTCCCTGTCCCTTGCTAGTGTCCAGTCTTACACTGCTGTTGTCAGTAATTGTTTTCCTTGGGAATAAATCTAATTAATTGTGAGGGGAAATGTACCCTATCAGTAGCAACTGAAATGAGGAAAGAATAGCCTTCAGCTTTTATATCAGGGTGGGTGGAGAAAACTATTTAGTATGTGTGAAAACTGTGTACTTCTCCCCCCACCACCAAAAAAAAGTTTTATGTATGTCTGGCAGGAGGGGATTTCATATCATCTCCCTATGTCAACTTTTCCCTTTTTGAGGGAGAGAGATGAGAGAACTTGCACTTCAGCAATAGCATGCTTGAAGTAGCACTTGGGACAATTAAGTCTTGGGACCTTCCCTCAGAGTTAAGGTAACTTGATTCCTTTCTTAAATGGGACTAACTATCAATGCAGAGCTACTCATGCTACTTGTGAGCTTCAGTGAGGCAGATCAGTCAACCCTAATCATACTCCTTACTTTCTTACCTGTTAAAATCTTATCAAGTTTGTCCACAACAAGCTCTGCATCTTTTGCACTGAAACATAGTGGTGGCTTGAACTTGAGCACATTTCTGCCTGGACCGTCTGTACTCAATATTATAAATTCTTGCTTTAATCTAAAAAACAAACACATGGAATACCTAGTTGAAGCAATTTGCTCATTTCAACTAGACGTGAAGTCTCTGTTCAGCCATTCCATCATTGCCACAATGTAGAAACACCACTGCCTTATCAAGAGAAATGGGAGTGGCATCATACTGGCAACACTACTTCCTAGAGCTAGTAGTGTTCAGTATTGCTGTGCTTTTCACTTTGGTAGACTTTGGGAAATTTTGTTTTAAAAAGCAAGTTCTTAGAAGTGTATTAGGTAGTCTGACAGTGCCAGTGATTCCCTGCATAACCAGGGAGCACATCTGCTTTGCAAAGCACTAGTGGTACAGGACTTCTGCCCTCTATGGCAGTTGTTTTTTGTTACTGATACCTGCGCTAACTGGAAGGCTCTACCAAACAACTGTTGCTGTTTGCACTGGAGAGCAAAGGATGCAATCCTGACTTGGTTGCAGCTTGTTTGGGAGTCAGTCAATGAAGCCAAAGTTACTGGTCTTTCACCAGTAGTAAATTTAAAATGATTCTGTATGCGCAAGTGTACTTATGAGTAGAGAAATTTGTACTCCTGTGTTAATGGGTTTTCTGTCCACAGTTGGCTTGACTGTGGCAGAGTGTGCTCCAGATGCACTGTTTGCAGACCTGTAGGGGACAGAAGGACAAGGAAAGAATGGAAGTCTACTTCCATCTGCCATCACCTACTAAGTATCATGTATTTCCCCTTTTAGTTTTCATTAAGTTAAATGACAGTGGTATGTGAACTTTTTTTTTTGGTGGGTGGATGAAATTAATAGCAGCTGGTGGGAGTGGGAAAATGGTCAAACATTGCTGCAAAATACCTTGTTATGATGAATTCTGCTTCTTTAGTAGCAGGTGATCTCTTCTCTTGATCTTGTACCAAATCTACACCAATGAACAATCCTACTCCCCTTTAAAAGAAAGCAATAAACTGCAGTGAATAATTCTCTGGTTGTTCTATTTCTTGGATCCTATTTGACAACATAAATCTAGCAAGTAACAGGAAGGAAGGAAGGTGTTACACTATAGCTTTATATAGAGCATATGGTACATTTTAAATAAATTGATACCTGACATCACCAATTAGAGGATGCCTCATTTTTTGCTGATTGAGTAGTTCCATGAGGAAGCTGCCCACTTGAAAGGCATGGATTTGAAGCTGTTCTTTCTCAATAATATCCAAGACGGTTAATCCTATTGCACAGGACACAGGATTTCCTCCAAACTGAGCCGGGGGGGGGGGGGGATCACAAGAGGTAGAAAAGTTTCATCCAAGTAACTGTTTGACTTAGAAGGCGGTACAATTTTTCAGTATAAATTACTGGATAGCTTTTTCAAACTACATTAAAGCAAGTTTATATATGAAGCATATTAAAGAAAATTAACATAAAAGTTCATGTTCACACGTAGTGTACTATTACAGTGTAAAGATTTGGATAACTACTCACGGTGTTAAAATATTCTACTCCTGTTGCTGAAAATGCCTCTGCAATTTCCTTTGTGGTGGCCACACAAGAGACAGGATGCCCATTGCCAATTGGCTTTCCCATAGTAACAATATCAGGAACAAAATCATCTCCTAGAAGCTGAAATGCCCAAAAACACTTGCCAACTCTGCCAAAGCCAACTTGAATTTCATCAGCAACGAATACTCCTCCTGCATTGCGTATGTGCCTATTAAGAAAGCCAGAATCAGAGATATATTTGCATAGACATTCCGACAAAAGTCAGAATCTGAAAAACTTAAATGGCTGATTTAAAAAAGTAATGTTTGGATGTTATGATTGCATGTTTCTAAATGTTAATTAAAAGAAGAAATGAGACTTGACTAAAAACAAATCCCTAGCAAACTCCTCTGCACAAAGTCAAGCAGTAGCAATTAAAGATATAATCCCACCCCCAAAAAGTTAAGCATTTGTAAGCCACCACATCTCCAGGTAGGGCTGGAAAAACAGAGACACTAGGGTGTGACTCAGATCTAGTTCATATAATAAGGGCAATGACCATGGTCTGTTGTCTGAACCCAGCTTGGTTTACTTAAGGTGGCTTGTTTCTATTTTTTTTCAAAGAAGCCACTCTGAGCACCCATTGGACGTTGTAGGGTTTGCTTTACTGACAGTGGTTGTCATGTCTGAACTTGGATGGCAAGTCCCATTGCTTGTAAAATCTAACAATCAGTAAAATACTTGGCAAAGAGCAAACACTCCTTACTGCTCTTCCCAAACTCGGTATCAGCTATCCCAAAAGTTTTCATACAAGCTAGCACCAGTTTCCTATTCTCCCCAGTTTTGGTTCCCCAAAGCCTTTTTACACCATTTTTTCTAGAGCTCATTAAAATGGGCATCATGGCTGGCTTTAGTGATAGCCACTGACCACCCCTTCAAAGCGTCTGAGCAACATTTTGGAGGACCTGGCATATTTAGTACCTACTCTTTAATGCACAAAAAGTTTGTATTTTTAGCTGAATTTGCACAATTGTGGCATATGAAGCCTCAGCTGGGGTAGCATATAGGGGTAGCTACTAAGAACCTAGATATTACTCCAAAGAGACTCCAAGTAGGTTGCTTTTCTCTTTGCTTTCTCTTGACAGATTTTCTTTAGACAGCTATCAAGAGAAAACAAAGGCAGAAGTGATCCTCGTTTCAAGAAGGGGTTGTGCAGTTCAGCAAAATCCTCATTTTGTTTGCTCTGGCATCCTCAGGGTAGAGCATGATTACAAATCTCCCCCCTCCTGAATACTATGGGAGCTTGGGAAAGTGCAGACTGTCTCCTCCGCAATTCTGTATGAGTTTCAGGGGTAATATGTATATGACCTAATCAACCTTTGCCTTTTCCTGTCAACTCTCTCAAAAGAGTTTGGACAGCTGTCAAAATGCCTTTTCCTTAGAAAAAGTGAGGGATGATGGAGAAACTTTTGCACATCTAGTGTATCAGGAGAAAAAGTACAAACTATGCACCACCCTGAAGACTGTCAGGATGAAAAAAGACAAGGCTGTTGCTGTAAAAAGGGAATAAACCATGCCACTACTTTTTGTGAGCAAAGATCACTCCCACCTCTGACAGTCAACGGTTATCATTTGTGTGCACAAAAATTAAGAAGATCCTGACAGCCCCTCCAAGACACTACCTAGACCAGTGGTGGCGAACCTATGGCACGCAGAGCCCTCTGCTGGCATGCAAGCCAAATCGTCCCAGCAGCCGCACATCAGATAACAGTGCACACGGGGGCCATGTGCATGCTCGGAAAGGAGTGGCGGTGCCAGGCAACGATGTCATGAGCCACAACTCATTAGCTGCAACTCGTCTGAGCTTTTGCTTTGCTGGTCAGTGCGCTGCCATGGATGGATGGATATATTTGCTTGGATTGGCTGTGAGGTGCTTTTTCTAAACTAAAACCTCAGTATTCAGGCTTTATTGCAGTGTTGGCACTTTGCAATAAATAAGTGGGTTTTGGGTTGCAGTTTGGGCACTCATTCTCTAAAAGGTTCGCCATCACTGACCTAGACATTCTGAAGGGGCTGTCAAGCTGGCTTTCACAATTATTAAAAAAGTCTAAAGTGCAAAAAAGCCACAGTGGTCTTGCCACAATATCCCCTGGATGCCACCTGGTGGACTGAGGGGGAGGAAAGGAGCAAACCCATGTTGGGAGTAGTTTTGGTTGTTCACAGAACCAGCAACCCACCATGGTTTCTTGCCAAAGTTAGTTGCAGCATCTGAACCTGCACAGCGTAAGGCAGCTCCGTATGTTCCTAAGTCCACTGAAATCAGTGGGATTTAAAATTCCTTAACTATGGTTGGATCTTTCAGAATAATGTACTTTTTAAATGTTTAGCCTTTTGGGATACAGCAGACACAAATGCAATAAAACTTAAACTGGAGAAGATGCAAGGAAAGCTAAGTAAAAATACTTACTCTGCTGCCTTCTGAAAATAACCAGGTGGTGGAATGATTTGTCCAGCAACGCTTGGTAAAGATTCCATAAAAAATGCAGCAAACTGGAAAGATTAGATGCAATAATGAAGCCAGCAGTGTTTGGATCACCATGAATCAGGCTTTTGGGAAAAGGCTGTGGTTGGTGCTCCTGAGCTAGAAATGCTTTTACACAGTCGCTGCCTGCCAGCCTGCCACTACTGCTGCACACAAGCACCTCTGCCAGCTGCCCAGAGAAAAATGTGCAAACCCAGAAATTTTATTAGTCACTGGGCTGGAATAAAATACATTATCACACTGCTATAGCTGAAGAATTCTGAGTGTTTATGCACAAGAAATGTTTTCAAAATCACATTCAGCTGTGGTTGATAGGATTTCCCAAATCGTCATAAACATAGTTTAGAAATGATTGTCATAGCTGCGCACACTGACATATGTTTCCAAACTGACAGACCTGTACATGTCTAGACAATGTGTATGGGATTCCAGTGCAAGGTAGGTGTCTGTAATTTGGACGTCTGTAACAGGAAACTTGGGTTTAAATGGAGTTAGGATCTTTGTGCCAAAGCCAACAAGTCATAGGGAAGGAGTTACCTATCTGGCTTCATAAATAGTAGATTATAAAACCTTGGATAATTATTCAAACACTGCCACCTTGACAAAAAAACAAGACAAAGGTTTGATGAAAAGGTTACAAGTTAGGCAATTAATTTTACCTTCCTGCTTTTTTGCTGTGCTTGGTCAATTATTTTTTTTACTTCATTGGCATATGCTGTGCCTGGATCCTTATGGTCTTCTCTATATAGCCCTCGGTATGTGTCAGGAAGTGGGGCCTGTCCACAGAAAGTATAAATTGCTATTTAAGCCACCTGTTTTTAGGTGAATTAGAAAACAACTGAAAAAGGGTGATAACTCTTTCGCATACCACATGGACCCATTCCTTTTGGCCTTCTAGATTTCTGAATTTATAGGGACTTATGTCGATCAAGGATGTCAGATGTCCATGATAAGCACTTAAAATAAAAAATAATGATCACTCATTCCCCTTTTAGTATAAAGCATAGTGAGCATTTTAAAGGCTTTACATCGTAATACCACATTATTAAAAATGTTTTATATACTCACTCATCAAGAACAATAATGTCTTCATGCTTCGTATACTGCCGTGCCAATCTCAGGGCAAGATCATTGGCTTCTGATCTACAATTGAAAATTCTGCAGCTCTCTCACTGTGCATATGCAGCCAAGAGGTGACCTCTCTGGATTTACTATTTTGCATCTAGTCTACAGAACTAAGCAATCATATTTCAGATGTACAAATCGTACAACAAAATACACAGATAAGGAAATACACGGGGAACATTGCAGTTTTGGCCCAGGTGATTTATACAGTTTGTGAACTGTTTCCCAAAATTACAGAAAAAGGTTTATTCATTCTGCCTAGAGAAAAGGATCCGAAGTTCTAATAAATATCAGCCATTTAATTTATTCACACCAAACTGTGGGGGGGGGGGAGACACTGATTTCCCTCAATGAACAGAGGGAGGAGTGTTTGAGGAAAGGGAAGACACGGCCAGTTACCAAGTATTTTGCCAACATGCTGTGAAAGATAATGTCTGCAGAATCCAATTTATTTCCAATAAATAACTTCTGGTTTGATTATTTAAGGCTAGCTTGGTGTAGTGGTTAGAGTGCCAGACTGGTTCTTGAGTGATCTGGTTCTAGACTCCACTTGGCCTTAAGCTCAGTGGGTGACTTTAGGCCAGTTACTGTCAGCCCAGGCTACTTTACAGGGTTCTTGGAAGGTCAAAAATGAAAGGAAGATTATGTAATTTGTTTTGGGTTCCTCCCAAGAGAGAGAGAAGTGGGAACTTTTTCTTGCTAATTACTTCCAAGTAAGTGGGCACAAAATTGCACCTTAAGGGTAGATGCAGCTTGAGATACAGGATAATGAAGAAGTCGGTGTACTACTGACACATCACAAACTTACCCTGAATTCACAAAATAGAAAATACATAACTTCTCAGGCAGTGTTTTAGAAAGTCTTTGTGCATAATCCACCAAATTGTCGTGCAGATACCGAGTATTCGTATTTAACATGAGATTTTGTTGATGAGCTGCTCTGACCACTTCAGGGTGGCAGTGTCCCACTGAGAAATAGGGAACATGCTTAGTAAGAGAATGTCCATTTCAGTGTCCATTCAAGATTTTTAATCAGACAAATATACTTTTCCTGACCCCTTTATAATACAGCCCAGAATTATGGGAGCAGGATTGTGTCACTTTTTGTTGTAAGCTGCTTGGTTTTCATCAGGGGTAAAGGACTGCTGGCCTGCTAGTTCTTGGACTAATGTTCCCTATCTCATGTTTCATCTTGAGTCATTTGGTCTGTGGGCTGATGGGGCTTGGAGTCCAACAATGAGTTCTCCATCACTGGTTGATGTGCTCAGTTGCAAACGTGCAGAGATAATATAGTTGTGGCCCATCACTTCATGTCAAGGCACTCGGGCAGCCTTCCCTCACTTAGTGTCCCCCAAATGCATTGGACTGCAACTCCCACC